CACACACACACACACACACACACACACACACACATATACAGTATATACAGTATACATGTACCTATATACTGTACAATGGAGTATCCGAGTATTGTGAAGGCAGCATAGTCTCTCTTGACCGAACAACCAATCACACTGCACTACACCTCCTTAGCCCCGCCCCTAGCCAAGCCCCCTGCGCCATAAGTGGGCGGTGCCTGAGCAATGAGGTAATCGGGGTAAACAGTAAAGATGGCGACTTCTGTAGCTGGAGAGGGGCAACACAGTCTAAATGGGATTATATGCGACACACAAGCTAAAAAACTGACTGACCTGCCGACCGAGTTACTCGAACACATCCTGTGCTTCCCCGTCCTCGACCATGTCGACATTTGTAACGTATCCTGCTGCTGCAAACGGCTACACGACGTCTGCCATGGAAGGGGGAAGGTCTGGGGACACCAGTACAAACTGAGGTGCTACGATTTATTTATGTGGTGTTTCGTCGGAGTCGTGGCCTCTGGTGGCTTTTCCCCACTATCTACTAAACCCTGTCTGCCTGTCCATTGTTGTGTGTCTCGTTTAGAGCCCTAAATGTAAGAGTTAAGGGTTCCTTAACTGCGAACTCACAGGCAGCTGTCAGCCGCTGATGCACCAAATTCACTATCACGCCAGGCCACTGTGCAGACGACAGTGGATTTAGTAAATCTCGGCTCTTAAATCTTCCACAAGTTTCAATTGAATGTTGAATTTTTACCCAGAGCTGCCCCAAAATAATGCATTTGTGTGACCGTGAATGCTACATGTAGTCTGTGTGCTGCAGGAGGGTGCAGCTAATGCCAAAAAGCTAAAGCCCTCCTCGCGACTTACTTGGCTGTTACTCTCTCTGTGTGCAAACAGAAAACCACGTCTGCTGACGATACGTGATTTCACAGCCATGTCATATGTTGCTTAGCTGATTCTGAGCATGCCCAAAACGTGTCACTGAAATGTCTTCTTTTTTTTTCATCAACAGATGGCCAAGACTGCAAATGTTTTACCGTCAGAATGAGTGCTGTGACTGGCTCAGAGAATACAAAACACGCCATAGAGTTGGTATACAAATACGAAGGACCGTGGAATCGATCTCCAAGAGGTTCTTCACAGAAGTCGTAAGTAATCCATTTGTAATCAAGAATACATAAATGTTTGTGCAAGAGAATGTGAGCTTTCTATGTCCCAAACTAACCCCGAGATCTGTAACCCAGCCTTGCGTTGGCCAGGTGCTGGGAGACAGCTTTGCAGAGATCGAGTCACTCGGGATGCCGGAGCATTTCTGCGAAGACGAGCTCCTCTTCATACTCAACTCTGACAAGAGGTTGAGAGCAACAGTGTGCACGCACAGCAACACCTCAACACTTGCCACACACTTTTTTGTAATCGTTAATGGGTTTGGGTGTTGGATCTTGTTGATCCGGATTATTAAAATCTCCTGTTGTGTTGCACACCGTGAATGTGTCTCTCTCTTCTGTTTTGCGCCCATCATTAGGAAAAGCTTGACTTTGAAGTACTATGCAAAGAAAATCCTTTACTTCCTGAGACAACAGAACATCCTGAGGAGTTTGAAGACCTTCATGGAGCAGCCTGCAGATCAGCAGTCATCGTTGGAGGGTGAGGAATGAACAAGTGTCAAAACAGTTGCACACTCCGTTTAGCTTAAATGTCTACTTACAACAGAATGTGTGTTTTTGCTACTTAGTAATTAGCTAAATAACAGCATCAAATGTTCCCATTTTTTGTGTTTTCTTTTTTCAAATAGTATATGCAGGCAGCATCATCACATTATTCATTCCCTCTCTTGGTCTTGTCTGCCTCTCCAGGTGCTGTACTGGTTGATCAGTATTGTAACCCTCTGGCTGATGTAACACTGAACAGCGTATCAGCCCAGCTGGACGAGATTGCAGAAAAAGTGAAGAAGATGCTGAGAATCAAGAACCCCTCTCACCCCAGCCTGCGTATCGCTCAAGGTGGACTTTTTAAAATTAACAAAACTACAATTTCAATACATCTGGACAATTAAAGCACAGAGGCATGGACTTCTATTCCTAGTAAATATTTGAAAAAATATATATCAATACCCTTATATTTGAGCAAATGTGTCAGCTGCACAATATCCATATTTTCCCTTTCAGGCAGAGTTCTTCTAACGTTCCTCTTCCTGTGTATGACGTAGGTGACTGTTTAGTGGTGGAGGACTTCGAGCTCCAGAGGCAGCTGGTGTCCGCCCTAAACTCTGTCTTATACGAGCAGCTTCAATACAAAGGCAACGAGTTTGACTACTACAACCCTCTTAACTCTTATATCCACCAGGTAGGTCTTCTATGAAATAATGACCATTTCAAGTCACAAAATGAACAATATTTTCCCTACTGTTTTCTTTTCAGAATATTTTAATTTCTTCTAAACTGACCTTTTTCCATTTAGGTGCTACTACGCCGTACAGGCATTCCCATAAGTCTCTCTGTCCTCTACATGAACTTAGCCCGGAAGCTGGGGGTTCAGCTGGAACCGGTCAACTTTCCTAATCACTTCCTGCTGCGCTGGTGCCAAAAACCAACAGTGTACGTTTTTAAATCACAGCTCTCAAGTTCCTCTAAATGTTGTCTTAAGAGTAGAGCTGTCACTCCCACAGTTCATGATTACAGGGGGAGAGCAGAGCACGAACAACTAGTTAACTCACGTGACTCTCTTCCTTCAATCACATCCATTTGATGCACTTACAAATGCTTGTATGATGTAGTAGGTAGTAGAATTTTCAGTTGGTTGCAATCTGCAACCTCACCGCTAGATGCCGCCAAATCCTACACACCTCTAAGACACAATTTGTGACAGATTTAAGTTAAATATATTTACATAAAAAGATTTGTTTAACTTTGTCCCTGCAGGAGTGAGGACATCTATGACTTTGTCTACATTGATGCCTTTGGTAAAGGCAAACAGCTGACCGCCAAGGAGTGCGAGTACCTCATTGGCCACCAGGTGACGGCAGACTACTACAGTGCCATCAGCACCACCGAGGTGCTGCTCAGGATGGTGGGAAACCTGCTTAACATCGGCAAAAGAGGGTAAGAGAAACCACCTGACTGTCACTGCTGACGCTGGAGAGATGGGTTGGTGGAGGATTGATATGGTCAACGCATGGTATGAATTATTGTAATGCATTTAATGCAAATGACTTTACCTGCAGTGTGTGGTCTCTTTCAGGGAGGGCAATGAGAAATCCTACCAGCTGTTGAGAGACTCTCTGGACCTCTACCTCACTATAAACCCAGATAATGTGCAGTACCTGCTGCTGCAGGCACGCCTCTACTTCCATCTGGGCATCTGGCCAGAAAAGGTCCGAACACACAACCTGATGCTCTAATGAGATTCAGTTCAATCAAATATGAACTGTCTTTCAGCCCACAGCACTTCACCTCACCACATTGTCCACTGATGTCTGTCCTCTGTTCCAGGTGCTTGACATCCTGCAGCACATTCAGGCGTTGGATCCCTCCCAGCATGGGGCGGTGGGTTACCTGGTGCAGCACACGCTGGAGCACATCCAGCACAAGAAACATCCCGTCACACCCGAGGAGAAGAAGCGCAGCGCTCCAGAACACCTGGAGGTCCAGTATTCCGTTGGCCTCATCATGAAACACAAGAGGTGGGTCACGCGAAGCATGTTGTACGGCCGTCCTCTTACCCGTGAACGCATCCCATTGCAATCCCCTCACAGTGTGTCTGTCCTGGTCCATCTCCTCCACCAGGTCAGGGTATAACTGTGTGATCTATGGCTGGGACCCAAAGTGCACCATGAGTCAGGAGTGGATCACCACCATGAGGGTCCACCAGCTGTCCAACGGGGCCAACCAGCCTTTCTACAACGTCCTCGTGCAGGACGGAACGTGTCGCTACGCAGCACAAGGTATGGATCGTGTACACCAGTATCGTGATGGAAAGTATCCTCACGGTGAGCAAATGTTTGCCGGTTATGTGATGATTTATGAAATGAAGGGGATAATTGGCCTTGGGAAGGCAAGAATGCATTTATGAGGCCAAAAATGGAAAAACAGAGTACCACTCTAATAATGCAAGCCCACTTTGTTCACATAGTACTGCTAGTTATTTGGGGGGAAATTGGATAAACAGTACAAAATTGGAACATATGACAAACTGATGTGTTATCTACTAAAAATACATAAAAAGGAAACTGCGTGCTGATAAGACGAGAGGAAGTCGGCAGCACAAACAATGTCAAACTTCCAAGTTCTCATAAAAGCATGTAGATGAACTGCTACATGGGGAAACTGAGGGACGGGACAAATGCTTCCCTGTCATATGTACTCGCACATTAGTATGTGGCTTGTTGGACATGATGGGTGATAGGAACTCTATGTTTAACTTGCATTAATAAGAATCTGTCAGTAAGAATGAATAAAACAAAGCCTGCAAGCTGGTTCAAGGCACACGCTTTAGTGATGCTGCGTGATGACTTTTTGTACATTTTGCCCTCTTCAGAAAGCCCCTCCCCACTAGGCTGACTCGTGTAATCCCTTGTCCTTACTTGCTCCCTCTGCTGCTCGGCCTGCTGATGCTGCTGCAACACAGCTTCCATTGTTTGCACGTGTTATCTTTGCCCTCTCCACCACCTCAGCATTCACCTGCAGACTCTGTTCCCTGAGATGCCAAAATACATTTGACCTTTTCTTAATAAACTAAATATTTTGATCTGCGAGTTGTCTGTTTGCCTTGGTCTTGTATGTATATTAATAATGTATGGGACTGTTTTGTATGAATTTCCGCTTTCAACTCGATTTAACTAGTTTATACAATCTCCATTGTCTTTAATCAGACTGTCACTTGTTCGTTGTTGTTCCTCAGAGAACCTGGAGCCCCACTCAGCTCCCCTGGAGATCGGCCACCCGGAGGTGGGACGTTACTTCTCAGAGTTTGCCAACACCTACTACTTTGCCAATGAAGAACTGCAGACGCGATACCCAGAGGACATAGTTGAAACTTTGGGCATGGTGCAGGAGCTTTACCACAGACTGACACCTGGCCTTGGGAACCAGGACCAGGCTTCTGCCACAGACCAGAACAACCACCGAGCCACGCCCATGTAGCAGCGCCGCTGTGACAAACCCGGGATAACCGATTACTGGTCACCCATTCTCAATTCACAGTCCACTTAGCTGTTGCTTTGTTGCGCATACTCAAGACCAGGACGTTTGTAAAAAAAAACAGGTCGTATACAGTATTCTCAGAAATTGATGAATTTGTGTAACAAGAAATGATTCACAAATGTGATTTTTGTACCACAGTCAGGCTCCAGTGCAGATCAGGAAAGAAATACCTGAAAAAGTCTAGAAACATGCAGCAAAGATCGTTAGTGATTGGACACACGCGTCTAATACCACGGTGTTGTTGTGAAAACAAAGCTCAAACGAAGGAGCGATGTGGCCCAGACGATGGTCGTCATCCAGGATGCAGGATCCTCAAATCCAGTCATGCAGTTGAGTTTGAAAATAAACATGGAAACTCAAAAATAATACATAAATAGACACCTTGAAGAAGAAGAAAAAAAAAAAAGAACAGACCTGAAGTTCAGTGGACGAGTAAATTCAGGATGGGTATCCAGGTGTTGTAAATCTTCCTTTACCTAAACCCAAGGAATGCTCCTTTACCCAGAGCTCCCCAACCCTTGACTACAACTCCCTGCACTCAGCACCAGTCAAATAAGCCCCCAGCATATAGTCGTCCCCCCACCCCACCCCAGTTACGGTGCCACACAAAAGACTGTACAGAAGATACTTTGTAAATTGACTTCCACCTTTAATTCCCCATCTTTTCATCACGTTTCATGCACTTACGGAAGTTAAACTTTCACATTTGTAGATTACCTCGTTTGTTTTTTTTCTGTGTATTTACAAGTGAAACGTATCATGGCTCCTCAGTGTTGCTGTCAATTGAGAAACAGAAGAACCAACAGCGTCCCCGTTGACTTGAAACAGAAATGACTCTCCGCTGTGAGGAACGTACAAAAACAATAAAGCGTTTCAAGTTTTAATGTAGCTTCTCGCTGACTTATTTTATTGAGCTCAATGAGCATGTTCATTGCTTTACTAGTGGAATGCACAAACCGGACGACTGCAGGTTATTTTTTACCGAGACAGTGCTCGAAGTGGGACGGTTTGAAAAAGGAGGGATCAAATATAAAGAAATATTAGAAAATGTTCTGAATCAGTTCTTTTGATTTACAGAAATAATTGTGTAACTATAGCAATATCAGTTGAGCTTTTGGGGAATGCTCTATAATAGTGGTTATGGTCAAAAATAATGTGAAAAGTCAAAAACCTTCAACTTTTCTCAGTGGAGGACCTCCAATCCTACTCAATTTCACCGTAAAGTAACGGTAACTTACTGGCAGCTGGGACGCCAGTAATTTACTTTTTTTTTTTACGGTGCAGTTACCGTAGTTTACGTTATTTTACCGTATACTGGATTACGGTATGTGATGGTAGGATAACTGGGTTTTACTGTGATTTTACGGTATATGCCAGAATGTTACCGTTTGTTTACAAAGGGTAATACAACCCGCAACAGGAAGTGCAAAGATTCAGACTCATTTCTGGGTTTTAGGACTCATTCTTGCAGAATTGTAAACCTGAAATATCTGTAGTTTTAACAACAGTAGTCATAGTTTCAGTGGTTATAGCAGTAGTAATATTAATTGTAGTGGTAATATTTTCAATATAAAGAGGGCAGTTTCCTGCTGGGAAATAAGTTAATTCATGATTCAGATTTAAACTTTTTTACATTTTTATGGATTCATTAATTTTGATAATACTCTGTTGCAGCCATGTTTTACACATCTGAAGTCTCTTGTGCTCCTCCTCAGGGAGGCTCTAAATTCGCCGTGGTGGACGCTGCCCAGCTGTCGTCTCACTCAGAACACCAACTCGGCCTCCAACAATGTAATTGGTTTCACAAACATCTATTTTTTGCAGACTCCCTCTGACAGTGCTGCATTTTCAACATCTTCAAGTCCCTCAAATCCACAAGTCTGTCATTGTCAACCAACCAATCTACTTCGCTTTATATTGATACATGGCACATTTTACTTTTTATTAATAATATATCTATCTATCTATCTATCACATACACACAACACGTAACATTAAAACAAACAACAATTTAATGTAAATATAAACTCAAAAATAAATATATATATTACATTGATACTGAGCCCTTTAATGCATTTTTCCCGGGGACTCACTTTTTAAAAATGACAAAACATTGCGACCCAATTCATTCACAGCAGGCCTCATCTATGAATCATAAGAGCGAATTTGTGCATAAAGGAACATTCCTGAACATTTTTACTGCCACTTGAAGAGATGTATGTTTAAAGTAATCACAACTTTGTTTTATGCATGTGTTATTGAAAACATAAACACGTTAAATACTTTATAAATAAGACTCCATTTAGATTCAATGTTATAAGTAGCTACAATTATTATTGCATATTTATTTTAGACCCTGATGACTCACTGGAAAGTGAAGCATTCAATGGCCATGTAAATATTCACAGGCTGAAATACATTTAAAAATGTAATTTATGGAATTTAGCGTTACACGTCGGCGATTTCTGGTCCCCTCTCCATTTTGATAATCGTCCCGTTTGCGGTCCTACAGTCGGTTCAATAAGAGCACAAGTAAACACAAGTTAGGTTACTAACATTACATCTAAACGCTGTAATCGGTGATTAACTTTATTTACGTTACCTTAATTTGCTATCCCGTTAGCTAGCTAACCTTTCTCAGGCTAATAGAGCGCGAGCTAGCTGACGTCACAGAGCTAGCTCCAATATTAGCAACCGGATGTAACGAAACAGACCAAGTGAAACATTATCTGAGATGTTAACAGTTCAATAATCATGAACCCGAAACAATAATGGAGACTTTCGGGTGATAAGCTTAACTTTATGGTGATCTCCACATGGCTGTTGCTCAGAAGGACGAACTGAAGCTGTTGTGTCCAAAGTCACATTCAGGAGCAGTTGCATCTTGTCGCTCAAAAATGACTTCTAGGCAATGAGCAGTTTGAATAATAAAATATATATTATATCATCATTACAGACACATTAACCTACAACAAACAGTACAATGTAGATGGATTGAGATTAACTGAATTTGTATACAGAAGCGTGAATCCACCTCTTCACAAAAAAATATTGTATCATGCTGCTAAATTACAGTAGTCTGCTGTTGTTGTCATTTTACGGCATTAACTGTTAATTTACATGCGAGGGATGAACATTTATGTTCCAGTTATTATGAAATACTGTAAGATAACGTTGAAAATCCACCGTAAATTCACAGCAATTCGTTCCAGTGGATAGCTTTTATTCACTGTAGAAATTCAGAATAAGAGGAGTACTGGTAATTGTTTTTTCCCCCGTACTTTACGCACTGGCTGCGTGAATTTAGGACCTTGAGGATACCAGATGTTTCCCGGACGCCAGCAGCAGCAGCAGCCTACAGCGTGATACAGCAGCAGCAGCGCGGAAAAGTTGAGCCAGTCGAACCGGATTTTGCGCACGGACTCGACGCACGGACTCAACGCACCGGTGGATCAGGAGAGATGGGAGCTTCGCAGACGCGCCCCGAGCACAAGTACCAGGACCTGGCGGATAAAACAGGATGTAAGTAGTAAAACACTTCTGTATTAAGACTATTTAGAAGTGCTGATTCAGTGTATGAAGTTGGTGTTAAATCGTTCAGTTTCGAGGTGTAAAAGTCTGGTGGAAGTGACACAATGAAATAAAAGATAATACAGATGAAAGGAGAAATGGAAAGCTTGCCATTGTGCCAACCTGTGATATTTACAAAGTCAAATGCTGCTGGCATCAGCAAACGAGGTAACATCTTATCATGTAAACGCCACCCGTTGAACAAATACATGTGATTTAGCTTCACTTTGATTTAAAGCTGCAGCACCAGTAGTTTTTTATTAAAAAGCTAACGTTATATGCTTGCTTATATATTTAATAGACAATACAGTCTATGAGATTACTATTTTTGTACCTCCATTCATTTGTGTTGAAAGAATTCATGGGTGCTACAGCTATAAACTTATACTTTTAACAGAACTTATATATTGTCATGAACCCCGCTCTCGTCCTCCCATACTGTATGTGAAACAACAAGCAGACAGAAACAGCAGAAGTGTGTAGATCTATTTTTAGAAAGGACAGGATCCTGATGTGAAGCTTTTTGCGTGCAGTGGCATGCAGAGTTTGAGCAGCAGGGATAAGGTTTTCATCCCAGGCTGAGGCCAACTTTATTGATTCTGCTATGGGTGAGACTTTGAACTATTTTATTGCCTTCATTTCCTCAAGGTGGGGCTTGGACCCCATTTCATTCTGGACTCAGTGGTCTTATGGTCATGTCTCTTCTTGACGCTCTGATCAAATGTTTAATTGCACTCACACGTCCTGGTGGTAGAGCGCAGACCAACTATTATATTGTTGTTGTCTTGTACGCACTAATAATTGCTCCATGGTATTGTAGTTAATTGTGTGTCGTTCCCGCACATGTAATGCAGTCGCCGCCCACTCCGAGCAACAAACTTGTTTCTGCATGAGGCTGTTGTTTTTCTCTGCATATTCTTCACCCCACACTCAGCAGGTACAGTTGCTACTGAAAACACCCTGTTAGCCTACCGGAAAAAAGGTAAAAATAAACACAATATCTTTACCGAAACAATTGAAAATGCCAAACCCATGTGCAGGAGGAGCCAGATTATGATGTGTGAACCTTTCAGTGTGTGCTCACTAGTCCACACAGTGAGTTAATGATTCAAGGAACCCTTTGAAATGGCATAAAAAGACAATCGCAGTACAACAGTTGTTTGCTTTTTGATTAAACCGATAGCAGAGAGAGTCTTAGAGAGTACTTGATTAGATTAATACAAGCAAGTCCCACTGTTTAATCATAATCCAGTATATTACAATTCAATGAAAATCAAGAAAAATTTGAACAACAACCGTGATCTTCTGTTTATTATCATGTTGGACGTCGTTAAAAAACAATTGACGGAATTTGCGCGGGCCTTATGTTGGGTGTGGAGTAATTATGGGTGTATCATTGGCATACTCTCATGTTGTTGGTGTTTGCTTCTTTGCAGTTTCACTGGAACAGATCAAAAACCTTTCCAAAAGATTCCAGCAGCTGAGTGGAAATGAAGAGACAATAAGGTAGTTTAAAAAAATAAATACGACATGTGACAAAGCTCTGCTGGTAAGCTGCACGGGGTTTGAATGGAAACCAATCAGCGTTTTTCCGTTACCACTAAAGAGGAAATAGTACCTGCATGGTGACTGGAGTTATGAATTGTGGGCATTTCTGGCATCACAAACAAGCAACATGTCGATGCAAAAAGGACACAGCTGACACACACTGTACACGCACACTCACTCATGTATAAACACACACACACACACAAACAGCCAAAGTGGCATGCTGGTAGTTACAGAGCACAAGTTCCTTCCCTTTAAAAGGAAAAGTGTTGTACATAGCAGATATTTATTTACAATTTGCCTTCATTTTACTTCCCATAGATAACATTCTGTGTTATTGCAGCATGCTGGTACTGTAGTATCTGTTTCATGACGATGGACTTTCTCTTGTCGCACTGCAGTAGAGATAACTTGGACAGCATACCAGCCCTCGCCAACAACCCAATCAGAGATGAAATTATTGGAGCATTCTTTGATAAAAGGTGAGTGCAGTCATATTACACCACACCCTCTCTGTCCACCCTATAGCCATTTCAACTGATATTGCCACGATCGGGATTTTATTTGGAATATATTCAAAAAAAACGTTCAAAACCAAATTCCTATTATATGATCTGTGAAAAGTAGGCCTACCAGTCTTCATTGTTATTACTTTTAAAAGATGACATTTCTCAACAAACTTGTTTGGTAAATATAAGATATTAGCCTGATGGAAGTTTCTTCCTGACAACAACTGCATAAACACAAGCTGTAAACGCTGTGCTGTTTTATGATTATTTTATATGAGGAATTATTATTCACCATATAAAATAAACGTTACTAAATTAAAACCTAATTTGAGAGAATAGTTTCACATTTTGGAAAGTATTCTCATTACCTTTCTTGCCCAGAGTTAGATGAGAAGATCGATACCTGTATACATTAAGTAGGTGGTAGGTTAGCGTTAAGACTGAAAATGAGCGGAAACAGCTAGCTAGCTAGCTAGCTAGCTAACCATAACTTTTCTTACATACGTCATATTTTCAAATGTCAAGACAAAAAATCTTTCTGCATATGGTCTATTTACAGCTAGGCCACTTGAGAAAATAGTTGTTGGAGCCACGTTGCTTGAATTCTGTTTCATAATTCCTAAACTGCGATGTCTTCTATGCGTGACCCAGGAACCAGCATCAGGATGCGGTGGGCTCCTGCGATGAGATTGGCTTCGAGCAGTTCCTCATGGTCATGTCCCACTTCCGCCCTCCAACCTTGAAGACGACGGTGGAGGAGAAGGAAGCTATGAGGAAAGAGAAGCTTCGCTGTAAGACACTGAACTTTAGTAACAGTATTAGACACAACCAGACATACCTGTCGGGTAGGATTCTCAGCCATTAGTCTACGACAAAAGCTTTAGTCTCCTGTGTCTCCATTTGGTGTGTGCCTCAATTACAAAATACTAGGGAAAAGGCACCATCCAGTGTCGATGACACATCGGTGATGTGAGTATCTTATTTCTATCACCACTGACATGCCTCGAACAGTGTGGTGAATGCATGTGTGAGCACCGGATCCCTCACTGCATGTCGGCTATCTCATTGGAGAGGTATTCCCGGCTCGGTTGGGAACAGTACCAGAACAGCAGCTTCACAATCCCACCTGTCACAAGTAGAATGGGATCATTTGTAGCCACCAAGTCAGGGCCCCAAATTAGCCTCAGATATCATAAAACCATTCGATTATACTCTGTTTATGTAGATTCATTCCAGGATGAAGACATTTACATTTGAGGTTTGTCTTCTTCCCCTCAACCTACAGTATCTTGTAGAGTTTGTGGCTTCCTACATTTCCCAGAATTACTTTTAGTTAGTTGTTGGCTGGATCAACAACTGGGAAAATTAGTGACAGGGCCAGGTACCTGGTACGAAGGCACAAGGTATATTTTTTTGCTAGTTGGTTAGTGGCACGTAAACAAAAATTTGATAATTTAATAACAATATTATCATAGATTGATTTATTATTGAAATGATTACATTATTGTCTTGTCAAGAGGCTTTGTGTAGAAATCTAAACTAAGGGCCCCTTTAGGCTAATGTTGGTATAGATTGCTGATCTGAGATTGTACACATTCCTGAACAAACTTGTTTATTCAAATTAAAACAAATGTACAGACGCAGAATGAGGCCATTGTCTCAGGTAAGATATCATTTGGGTATGTCTTGCGCTTTAGATGCTATTCAAACAAGTTAGAATCTCTTTGTTTCAAGTTGTTCCTCATTCACACGGTTGGGACTACCAGACCTATAACTCATATGATAATAGATGAGTGTTGTGCTGTACTTGATGGGTGCGCTAACGACACAGGATGCATATAAAATGTGCAGAGTGGACAGTGCTAAGTGCAGGTGGCAGGAGGGACAGATTAGGGGGATGAGTGCCAATTTGTGCCCTGGGTCGTCCAAGCAGGTAAATCTTGCAATGCATAACATCTACTTAGCCGACTAATAGCAGCCACGGCCCTGTCTCACGGTGCAAAATATCTGTAGCGCCATTGGATCATAGTCTTCTGAGGGAGGAATTCTGTCTTGCTAAATTTCTCTTTTTATTTGTTGTTTAGAAATATTACGACCAAAAAATAACATAATGAAATTTTGAGCTTAAAAGAGGCCACAGTTTTTGGCCTAGGAGACTGAAATTTGGTATGGAGGTCAAGTGTGTGGGTGGTAATAAAACAGTTATGTAAAATGATTCAAAACATTTACTCAAGTACTGTACATAAGTGCAATTTAGTAGCGTTTTGTCACATTTCAGCTTATGAGTTGTCACCAAAAACTGTTTTAAGGCCCAAATAAGTAAAATCAAAACTTGAACTCAGTACTTTTACTTGCAGTGGATTATGTTTACTTTGTTGTATTGATACTTCAGTAAAGGATCCAAAGACTTCCTCCATTTCCACTGCCAAACGTGTTAACTCTGGTATATCCTTGTTTTCTAATCAGTCTGTGTTGTTTTGCACTGATCAAGACAAAAGGGGGGAAAAGATGGTACGTTTGGGCTGTACTCTCACAACTTCCTCGTAGAATAAATGGAGGTTTTGGGGGTTTTCAAGTGGCTGAATCTTGTAAATGTCACTGTTATTGAAAGTAGTGGCATTTGAAAGGGGATTTGTTGCCTCAGTGGTGATTGTCATGTGGCCTGAAGGTAACCTGATTTGTTATTCTGCGCCATATCTCTACATCTTGAACATTCCTCTAATCACAAGTCTATTAGTAAGATCCTCTCCTCTTAGATTTTTAGTTCCTTAGAAATCCGGCTAACCTCAAAATTGTTCTGTTCCATCCCAGTCCTATTCAACATGCATGACACAGACAATGATGGCACCATCACTCTGGTGGAGTACAGGAAGGTAAGATAGCTTAATCACATGTATCTCAATCAAAGGCTGGAATGTTGTGTGCCTTTTTATACTTGAACATAATGTCTGTGAAAAGAAGTGATTCAAAATTTAATTATTTTTTGATATAGTATATGTCGATAGTCATAAAAGTAACTATAATATGTTGAAAAAAGTAAAAAAATATAATAGTATAGTATGTCGAAAAAAAGTCATAAGTCATAGTATAGCATGTGGAATAAAGTTATAGTATGTCAAAAAAAGTTACAGTATGTGGAAAAAAGTCATAAGACAGTGTGGACATACTGTGCATGACATTTTTTAACAAACATTCATAGTATAGCGGCTATACAATGACTCTTTGGGCTATACAAGTGTCTGTCAAAAAGAGGCATAACAAGTATAGTACGCCTAAAAAAGTTAAAGTATAGCGTGTAATGTCATAGAATGTCTCAATAACTCAAATAGTGTCATAAAAAGCATCATGAAAAAGTCATAGAATAAAATAGCATAAAAATGGCATAAAAAATGCAATATTATATAATATGCCATGAAAATGTCATAAGAATCTTTGGCATTTTTATGGCATTGATATGATATATTTTGTGACAGTCACAGTATATATTCTATATCATGTCAGAAAGAATGTCATAAAAAAGCCACAGTGTAATATGACACAAAGATGTCATTAAAATGCCACATAATACCTCTTACGGTCATTTGAACATGTCCACCTCTGAAGGTTTTAAAGACGAACGACGTTCTTCTCGTTCCAGGTGGTAGAAGAGCTTTTGTCAAAAAGTGACGCCATCGGGCAGGAAACTGCCGAGGCGATAGCGGATGCTGCCATGTTGGAAGTGGCGAGCATAAATGTGCCCCACATGGTAACGGAGCGCTCCACAACTAAACTCTCACAACTAAACTCCCACAGACGCACATCTGCTGCAAGTAACACATTTCTCATTTCAGGCCCCAGACGAGTTCTATGAAGGAATCACGTTTGAGCATTTTGAAGAGGTTTGCACTTGCACCATTTTTTGATCATCAAAATTCCTTCTTTTTTTGTTGTCACTTACTTATGACAGCATTTCGTTATCTGCCCACAGATTTTGAAAGGACTTGAAATGGAGACGAGGATGCACATTCGCTTTTTAGACGTAGACACCATGACGATGGGTTGCGGGAAATCCACCTCTTGAAATGTTCGAGTCTCTCGAGTCGTTAAATGGGATGAAGCCAAACACTTGATGTGCACTAATATATTTTGGGATTGTGGGAAATAATTCTAGACCAAGTACCATACTATGAATACATTTTTTTTGTATACGAATGGAAAGTATTTTGGAGCCAGAGGATGTTATCTCCTGTAGTTCACTTTTAAGCCTGAAGAATTCAATTTTTTAATCATTGTGATCCTACGAGCGTCACATATTTTGAATAGATTTGTTTTCCATCTCTATGTAACTCCTTTATGTACCCAGCATGCAATGTGAAAGGATGCGTTGTCGTTCAGTCTAAAAGGTTCACATGTTGGATGAAGTCAGACATGCTGTTCAGGCATTCACGGGTCATCTGTTCTGGCTCACGTCCAAAGAGTGAGACAGGCGCACACACCGGTCCTCTGCAGCTTCAATTGATCTATTCCGCTGAGATGCTGTTGTTTGAGTTAATCGAACCCTTTCCCTGAGATTAATGATTGCAGACTTTGTACTGAGTTCTATTAATGAACAAAATTAATTTAAGAGATTTTGATAAAACAAATGCATGTGTGCGATTTTTGTTTTTCGAGAAATTTATAAAAAAAAATGTACTCAGAAGAAACACGAGGTACAAATACGACTTTTTATTGCTGTAATGTTTCACAGCAGCACTGATTCAAATCAAGAAAACTATGCTGTAAAAATTCATTAAAGCAATGATTTATAGGACTGTGATCCTGTGTAACATCTGGGCACACTGTCCATTACAAATACACAGTTACAGATAGTATACATTGAAATATACAATTCCTAAGAAGCTTGATAAAAGGAAAGTAATTAAAAGGATCCCGCTTGGAGAATCAAACTGATTAACGGTAAACGTTTCTATTGTCCGTTCAGTCACTCACTGAGCTCAGTGTCAGTCTGTAACGCTGCGTGTCAGTGGGATGGATGGCAGCCAGGCAGCTTGTCGTAAGGCACCGCCAGGCCGATGTTGTAGTTGTACCCGGAGGACTCGATGTAGTCGGACCTGCAGATGGGCAGGATGTGATCCTGTGACAATGCGTCCTCAGAGAAGTCGTAATGGCAGATGACTCCCCTGTGTCTGAAGGATAAACACACGACAGAGATATCACTCATTTCACTTGAGTAGGCTAGTTTTAAACTACTGACACATCTGTGGAAGATCAAAATGCAGCTTTATCATTAGTGGTGGTGTCACTTTAAAGCCTGACTTTAATCAGTTCGTTGCATGCTGCTTTGTAGGCTTCAATAAAAAACTCTGACTGAGAGGAGCAGCAGGTAGTCAGGGAGATGTGGTCCCAATTTAATTTTGAGAAAGCAAACTAGCATGAAACAAGCTTCCAGCCATCTTAAACACCATCCCATTCGTGATAACAAAGTGCGCTGTAATTACTTTGACTGTGGCAATATATTGTCATTTAAAGGAATAGAGCCACATTTTGGGAGATACACTAATTTGCTTCTACAAAACCTAACGTACAGAAAAGCAGTCAATTCACTGCGTATTTCTGACTCTGTAAGCTCGTGGGGAATGGGAGGTGGATGTCGAGAAGAGATCCAGGATTTAAAAAGAAAAAGAAGAAGAAGTGTGTGGGAGGGAGATCGGTGACCTGCGGTGAGCTGTGAGGTCATCGTCTGTGATGCAGGCCCCCCTTGGCGACTTGTCATCGGGGATGTTGGCCGTTACCAGGGTGCTGGTGTTGAAGCGGACGTGCCTTACAGGATGCCTGCAGCCAAGACAGAAAACACCTTCAGTACAAAATATAAGAATCTGTTTTTCACTTGTGCATGTTAGTGTTTTTCTACAAAGATGTCTAGAACTATATCTAAAAATGTCCAAATTCTGATTGTATTCCTCACATTTGACACAAAATAAATGTTTCCTAATCAGCAAACAGCTGCATACATTGACATTTCCCTTAATTTGGACCATGTGAATGTGGTACACAATTGGTTTCAAAATAAAAGCATGTGATTTACATTTGTTAATACAAGCTATGAATAATTTGTCCGTGCTACGATGAATTAAACAACATATCATTCTGTTTGGACAATTATCTTATTTGTGGCACTTAAAATAATTTGGAGATCAATAAGACACATCAATGCAGCCACTGGGTTAATGGGTTTTGTAAATGCCTTAATTAACTCTAACCTCGAAGGCACACACCACAACTGTGATTCATTAGAAACAAACAGAGAAGCTCGGTAACATAAAGAAATGTGACTTCTTTGAAGACTGTGGATTTGATCAGTGCAGCTGAGAGTTTGGATCTCTGTGGCTCGGAAGAAAGACAATCCCACCTGTTGTGCATCTCCCACAGCTTCGCTCCCATCCTCATCTCCCACACACACACCAGTCCTTCGCCTCCGCCGCTAACAACCTTCCAGTCGTCCGCCTGCACCGAGGTGACGCCCAGGTGGTGGGCGTACAGGGACGCCACGGAGGAGCCGGCTCGCAGGTCAAACACCCTCACCCTGAATCACAGCAGAGATGAACACATTTATTTATTTATCATTACTTTATAAATGTAACACCACGTAGGAATATCTCTAACGCTGTAAGTGAGTCCTATGAAAGAATAAGAAGTGAAGTGAGTACAATAGCATCAGTCATTCACAGTGAAGCGTGGTAATTTTGGATTTCACTTCCTGCTTACTGAGGCGTAGGACTCCAAGACTGCACAAGAGAGAGAGAGCACAGTTTGTCAAAGAGCGCATTCATTTACAGACAAAGGGACACTATTCCCACTTATGAAGGAACTTTCAAACATTCAGTCAAGAGACCCACGACAAATAGATGCTGAAGCACACGTGCCAAAGCAAGCTCTTAGTTCCAGCCTGAACAACACAACACTAGAGAATAGTCAACAAAAAATGAATAAAGAAAACAAAAAGAGCCGTGAATAGAGGGTGTGTAAGACAACAGCAGGTACAGAATATGCAGTGTGGTGAAAAAGTCTCACATCCCTCCACAAAGAAAACATGAATAAACTCATTTGAGGATTTTGCTGATCACATTTTTTTTTTTAACTGTTAAATGTGGCCAAAAGCAGATAAACTTCATGTTTTAAATGCAGTTTTGTAGACTTTTAATGATTTTGACCTGACTCTTAGCTTTATTTTAGTCATTTGTTTAACGATTGAATTATTTTCTTCTGTTATTTTGTATTTATTTTGTATTGAATGTCTTCACACGCATATGTATTTTAATAAACATCCTGATTTAGATAATGGCTTGTCAGTCCTTTCTACAAAGCACTTTATAAGTTCTACTTTCAGAAAAGTGTTATGTGGTCTTCATGATAATATGACTACTATGATGATGATTATCATTGGTATAATCACTATTTTTATTATAATAACATTATTTGTGTTAGTGTTTATTTGATAAAAAAGGAAACAGCAGGGATTATTGGCTGTCTGGGTTTCATGAGCATCACAAAAGCTCAGGGGACCTTCAGCTCCATCTGTCGTCATTGTGGCTTTATTGCAGCTGAAAGCATCCAGGACATGACTCCATCCAGGCTCAACCTTCTTCCAAGACTGCATTACCATAATGAAATTCACTTAAGGGACTCACACAGATTACATTTCCGCTTCCACAATTTATTTTTTTCCCCCAAGAATCAGAGTTAAATGGCTAAATGGGCACCGCAGTCTTGTTGTCTGCAGTTACTTTTGCCTGTTTAGTGGCATTACGTGATGGAAGCACACATTTAAACAATGAGGACTGAGCATTACTGGCAGGCCGCAGGGAGCCATAAATCTAATGTTGGAGGAGGGCTCTGTCTTCAGTGAGCTGTCAGTGGCCAGACTCCTCTTCATTAATCAGGAGCAGCTCAGTGTTGGAAAAGGTTGGGATAGCTCTGGTTAGTTTCCTGCAGACTGGGCGAGACATTAATCACTATTCACCGAGGACTGTGTGCGACGCAAACCTGTGATTTGTTGATCCCAAGTGGTCTGGTTTGGTATTCTAGTCTTGTTTGCTTTCTGCTCTAAAGACTTTGCAGTTACAACCTGTGAGTTAAGACCAACCTATTCCAAGACTAGTACAAGATCCTTTCAAGAATGAGGCATGTGTAAACCAAATCCCACAACAGGTGAAACAAATTCGTTTTTCACAATTTGTTCTTGAAGGGTTTGCCAAGGGCCGCCTAAGCTTGCTTGTACTTAGGCACATTGGTACTTTGAGCCAAAGGCAACGTTAACATGAGTAGGTATAATGTTTACCATGCTCTTAGCGTAGCGAGTTAGCATGCTAATATTTGCTAATTATCACAAACAACAGCAGAGGCTGATGGGAATGTCATCCGTTTGTCACGTATTTATCAATTTAGAAGGGTGTTCTTAAGTTAGCACAACATTTCATGGGGATCCATCCAATAGTTGTGGAGACAATGGACCTCATACAAGAGAGTTTTGGTATTCTAATCTTAACTTTCTCGTACTCTTTTTTTGGTTCCACGTCAGATTCTGCAAATGCTTTCTAACTTCATGTAACTGTGGTAGTGACCAGCGTGAGCATGATGAATGCCACCTGTTCATACATGAGGGCGCGATCCTGAGAAGCAGCGGAATTAAGGAACCTGCTAAAGCCAAGGAATGGGGGGGAAATAATCACCTGACGGGCACACTGTCATTGAAATAAAGAAGAAATGGTTCAATATGAAAAACATTTCGCCCCAGCAAGGCGATGGATGACTGCAACGGAATCCAGTTGTTAATTGTGTTATAGATAATCCAAAATACGAGAAAATTGGTGGATGCGGCAAGTTCTCTTAAATCAATCCTACAAGCCACTTAAGATCGACCAAAGTCATTAGGACTATCTGTCGAGAAAACATGAATGTCTCGACAATAGTGTGTGCCAAATCGTTTAGTGTATAAGGAATACTTTGATCACCAAAGAGAGTAGGACTCAGAGAAAGTCTGTACAAAATGATATCCATCCCATCACTTTTGAGGGATTATATTCTGGACCAAAGTGGCGGACCCTGCCATCCCTGGAACCATGTTGTTAGTGGGACTAAAAACAGAATAGATTTAAAAGAGACAACTTGAAGACAAATCCTAGGCTTCAAGAGGCTGGACTCAAGAAGTGCAGTCATGCATGGTGATAAGTGATAAGTGACCAATAGCCACAGGTATGACACTCACTACTTCTTCCCTTCCTCTAACTGCATCCAATTTTGCTCTTAGCCCACATCTTTCCCTGTGTGCACAGATGTGGCCTTCTTCCAAACAGCCCTTATCAAGACCCCTCATTTGCTTCCCGGATCCGACAAATAAAAAACAGAGGGACAAAACTCATTTGGACAAAAAGAAGGGATGCATTAGGCTTTGGCCTTAAGCCACCCTGTCAGACGGCCAAGATCGCCGACCGTCTCCCCCATTTGTCTTCGACTGTGCGCTGCATCAGCTGGGGCCAAAGTGGAAGAGCCAAGCTAGTGTGTGTGAATCTACACACACACACACTACACACCAGAAAGCAAAGAACAAAAGTAAAGCGGAGAGGAATTGGATAAAGACCAACAATGCTCTGGCGAGAAAACAACTATTTCAATTCCTCAATAAAAAAAACAACGTAGAGCATTTCCTTTTGGCACTTGACAAAAACATCTTTATACGCATTGTGTTTTTGTGCAGTTGCTAGGAGTCATAACTATTAAGAAGACAGATCCTAAACAATATGATGTGGTCTGTCTTTCGCTGGAAGCCAACTACTTTACAGCCAGATGGATTTGGTTCTGAATAGAAACAGCAGGGGCAGCTTTGGACAAGGACGCGCCAGGGATTTTTCTTTTCCTTCCAGCTCATGCACCGCAGCGCCCGCTAACAAGTGCAGAATAGATGAATGGCTCTTTTATGTGTCTTTCCTCATCTGGCGAGCCAGGTTAGCGAGGAGGCAAGTGTGTGTGTGTGTGTGTGTGTGTGTGTGTGTACATGCATGGACGTGTGTGTGTGTGTTGTCGCCGGATGGGATCAAGAAGGCCAGATTTTGTTTTTTGTCGTCGTATAGTATCCCAGGTAATGGAGGAGACAGACGTCTCTATTCAACACAGAGAACAAAACGTCTCACATCTAGGTAAGTCAACACCCACGACGCTTTGTTTCGTCAAGGCGGCAGAGAGACCGAGAAGCGTGACTAATGCACAAATTGAAAAGAGCCATGTCTTCTCACACACACCTGTTCTCCACTGTGCAAGGACTGAAGCCTCAGCCCACTGTGAGGAAACTACTTAACAGACACTCCGTTCATCTTAAATTCTTGGCTCAGTTTCATCCATTTGTGATGTTTGAGTGTCAGCATTGAGAGACTCTCCATCTGTCTGACAATGTGTGTGTGTGTTTTTTTTTTTTATCTCAGTGTCCTACCTCCTGTCCTTGTTTCCGCACACCAGCAGGTGAGGAGGGCCGTCTCTCAGGTTGATGCAAGTGAAGTCTCCCAGCGAGTCGCCGACGCATGCCACAGGTTTGCCCGTCTCCAGGCTGTAGACGTGGATCTGAACAAGCAAGAACACACAAAAACATCAACCATTTTAAATCTGAAATTCAGTCAACCTCCAAATGCACAACCACCAAATGTTTGAGCGAGTATAACATAATGAGTATGAGTGTAGAGAGTTGGCTCTGAGCTTTTGGAGGGTGTTTACATCAATATCTGGTGAACCGTGTCGGACTTTATGGCCGCTATTTATACAGAGACAGCACTATTAGACAATGCAGCAGGACAAAAAGCCCTAAACTGAAGTTGAACAAAGACGTAAGCATGGCTGCATCATCATCGCCATAGAATATAGTGTTGATGTCTATGGGCCGTAAGACTTCATGCAGACAGACATGGAAAAGGATTTGCACAACCAAATATTAAAAATGATGACTTCATTTGATTACTTCATGAATTTTTGCCCCCAAAATTGTGTGAAAAAGGGCTACAATTCTTACACCGCTCACATTAAAGTCTGCTCTTTTACCCTCATAGTCACCATTTCATTACAATTCAGAATTTAGGATCTGAGATCTTATTAGCAAAGAGATTTGTGTATATTAGATTCAACAAAAACAATGTTCTTCTTTAACTCACTCAAATAAAAGTTATTACCTTTCATCAAAACATGAAGCTAATTTAAGTTCACTGTTGGTGATTTTAAAATTGCTCTGCTAATTCTCTGCAAATTGCACAATTTGAAACTACACACTGAAATATGATTGACAATATTGGATTTGGTATATATCATAAAAAAGACAAACACGGTTAACCAAAGTGAAGCTTTGCCAGTTAATTAAAAGCAAAGCAGCACAGAAGTCTTAAATAAATCAACCTATGGGCATTCTTCAACTACTGACAGAGATGCCCTCCATTGCCTCTGGCTCAATGGTTGCAGCAAACTTTCTTCATACAAACTACAATGATGTCATCTGGAGCTGGCCTAATTGGTCAATTAGTGGCTGGTGTTTTCTCATCCAAATGAGACGGAACAAACAGGATAACCGCCAGGCAAAAATGTCTTTGAATAATTAAAACGATTAAGAAATTAAACCGAGGAGGGAGGGGGGGGGGGGGGGGGGGG